TTAGCCCGCTGAATGTGGTGGAGCAGCGAGACAAGTGCCGTCTCATTCTCGACCTACGCAAGGTCAACACGCATCTCGTTGTCCCCAAGTTCAAGTACGAGGGTTTGAGCCGTGTCGCTGAGATCATTCAGCCCAATGATTGGTTTTTCTCGATCGACCTCAAGTCCGGGTACCATCATGTCGAGATTCATCCATCTTGCTGGAGGTTCTTAGGGTTTCAATTCGAAAATGAGTACTACTACTTTCGGTCTCTACCATTCGGCCTTGCAACCGCCCCGTTTGTCTTCACTCAACTTATCAAACAGCTCGCAAAGAGATGGCGTGCGCGAAGCGTGCGGGTCATTCCGTATGTCGACGACTTGCTCTTCCTATGCGACTCAGCTCAGCAGGCACGGTCCACATGTACCAAGGTTTTACAGGACCTCAAGGCAGCAGGCTTCATCATAAATGCGAAGAAGTCACATCTTCACCCATCCCAACAATTACGCTTCCTCGGTCTGGAGTTGGACACAGCCCGGGGCATGTTTTCGATCGGCTCGGAACGACGGGAGCAACTCCTGAGCACCCTCCAGGCCCTCATCGTAAAAGGACAAGCGGGACATCACATTCCGGTGCGGCAGATCGCCCGCGTTACCGGTATGTTAGCATCAATGGCACTGGCGCTAGGTGCAACAGCACGTGCCTTCAGCCATGAGCTACTACAAATCATCGCCCACGCCACATCTTGGAGCTCCAGGACGTTGCTGTCGCCGGCAGCAGTTGAAGAGTTATTGTTTTGGCGCACACAATTCGATCGATTCAACGGGGCGGCATTCCACTCAAGTCATCAGTTCGATGCCGTCATCCACGTCGACGCCAGCGCACACAGTTGGGGTGCCACCCTCACCACCTTTCCAGGATCTGCAACCGAAGCCAGCGCCCGGATGCCTGATGGGCTTCTTCCAACCTCCAGTACCAGAAGGGAGCTCGAAGGCGTCATATGGGCACTACGCACATTCGCATCTCGGATCGTTCGAAGGCATGTCCTCGTGCGGGTCGACAACCAGGGTATCGCATTCATCCTACGCAAAGGGGGCTCTCGCCAACCCACCCTCACGCTCCAATGCCAGGAAATCATCAGTCTTTGTTTGGAGAATCTCATACGCCTTGATATTGAATGGATCCCATGCGAGTTGAATGCTCACGCCGATGAACTCTCCAAGATACAGGACCATGAAGACTACACACTCAAAGCCCCCTGGTTTCGCCTTCTTGAGCGGAGGTGGGGCCCCCAATCTATTGATCTCTTCGCGAACACATATAACACACAACTACCGCGATACTGTTCCAAGATTCCACACCCGGGTGCAACCGCCACGGATGCGTTCTCAGTCTGTTGGCACGGCGAGCGCGGCTTCGCCTTTCCACCACCCAACCTAGTCCCGGCGATCCTTCGCCACGCACAACAGACCAAAGCCAAGTTGACTTTGGTTGTCCCCCATTGGTCTGGTGCATCCTGGTGGCCACTCCTCCAACCTTCACCCAACGTTTGGGCGTCGGGAGTTGTAGCTTATCTCCCTCTTACCCACGGAAGCCAATGTCTGCATCCTGGCACGCATGCAACAGCATTTTCGGGTTTAGGACTCCCTAACAGCCCCATGATTGCTTTAAGTCTTGACTATAATAGATAATTCCTAATTTCTATGCATTTAATCTCAGGAATATTGCCCAAGCTGCAAAAACAACTATTGCAAGTCATCACCCAAGTCCGCGCCCCATCCACAGTCCAAACGTATGAGCCTTACTGGTTGAAATTTCGATCCTTTTGTATCACGAACAAGCTGAGCTTCTTATCCGCAACCGACCTAACCCTCGCGATGTACCTCATCCATGCGCTCAACAATAACGCTACCGTGTCGGCCGTTTCCCTCACCTGCTCCGCTGTAGCCTTCGCACTCCGCATGACAGGGGAACCCTCCCCGACGAGCGGCCCCTTCACGCTGCAAGTTTGAGAGTACGCCAAACGTCACGGACCGCGCCCTACTAGACACAAAGAGCCCCTCTCGCTGCTCCAAGTTCACAGCATGGCCCGGCCCTTCCTCGAATCCACAATTCCGGCGGAATACCAGAAGGGTCTAATCCCTCTTCTCATGTTTGCGGCGTTCCTGCGCTACTCTGATCTAGTCGCGCTTCAATGGAATGACATACAGTTTGAGGAGGAGGTAATGTGGCTTCTAATCCCACACTCCAAGACGGACCAGGAAGGCAAAGGCTCATGGATTCCAGTGGCCGTGACACAAGGGCCCTGCTGTCCAATTCGATGCACCCGCCACTTCATTCAGCTTGCCGGCCTTACACGCATGCCGCACGGGCCGCTCATCCGAGTATTCGGCAAAGGAGCACGCGCGACCCCGCAAGACAACTCCCCATCGTACCCCACGATTCACAACTGGTGCCTTGAAGCTTTCGAGAAGGCCGGCCTCGATGCCTCCCACCTCGGCACTCACTCTTTCCGCAAGGGCGCAGCCACGGCCGCAGCCGGCCTGGGGGTTCCCGACCGTCTCTTCAAACGTCTTGGCCACTGGAAAAGCGATAGCGCAAAGGAGCTATATGTCACCATTGCTCAGGACCAGCTCGTTGCAGTTTTCAACCAACTACAAGACACCTCCACGGCCCCTTCACCTGCCCGACATCAGCAATCGATCGAGCGACACCGGCAACCCCCGATGCACATGCCTCGAAATGCCCATCTGAAATGAAGCACGCTGCCTTTGCAAGATGGACTAAGCAACTTTCACAATATGATAAATTTTGAAAGTGTTACACGCTTTCTAAAATTGTGTATTGTGAAAGTGGAAACGTGGCCAGCACAGCAAAGGTAGCGGCGCGCCGCTACTCACCCTCTTTTGCCTACAAAAGAGGGACGTGAGGCCAATTGGCCTCACCCACGTTCTTCATTTTCAGTTTCTAGTTTGAGTTCCCCCCCCACCCTCCCTCCAATGTATGTGCGCTTAACGACGAGAACTATGTAACCACCCATCTGAAATGAAGCACGCTGCCTTTGCACGATGGACTACCGTAATCCCCCGTATATAAGACCCGCCGAATTAGTCAGCCCATGGGTGGCATATGCGGGGGATAGCTTATGATATGGCGCATTTTTGAGAGTACCCGCTTTTCTGGGTATGAATTTTACATAACACCCTGCTCGTTTTTCTTGCGTTTAAACAGTATTTGGTCCTTCATTACCAAGGTTCGCTCAGCTGCAAAAAAACGAGCAGGATGAAAATCGCGTCAGGTGCCATTCGCGACGCAAAGACGGGCAGAAGAATCAATACAAGTGGCAAAACGAAATCGAAAGACACAAGTGTCGAAAGGATCTCGACTGTCCATCTTGTTGTTGAACCACTTCGATCACGTCAGCAATGGTCGTGACTCTATTCACAGCACTCATACGAGATTGGTCAATGACACCTGGCACTGCTGCTGCATCAATCTCCCGCGTTTTCAGAGGCACCAAACTGACCCAGTCAAAGTGTGCAATCTCTGTAGCAGATTCCTCGTTAGCAGATGCTCGATGAAGTTCTGGCCTCAGAGTGCCTGTTACAACTCAAATTCATTTTGCATTTTACATAAGACATGGGCGTTTTATTTTTCCAGCCTACTGTTAACATGTCAAACATGTGTATGTGTCATGTTTGTATAGACTGTATAGGGTCACCTCTTAGAGGGTACAACACTTAGGTATATCTGTGTGTACTCTCTCTCTACTATCATTCAATTCTCTAATTTTGATATGGTATCACGCGTAGGTTAGGATCCCCCCCCCCACCTACCGCCTCCGCTCGCCCCCCTAGCTCGGCCCCGCCGTGCCTCCCTCCTAGCCCCGTCGTGCCCCTAGCCCCGTCGCGACCCCCCTAGCCCCGTCGCGCCGTTCCTGGGCCCCGTCGCGCCCCTCCTGGGCCCCGTAGCGCCCCTCCTGGGCCCCGTCGCGCCCTTTCCTGGGCCCCGTAGCACCCCTCCTGGGCCCCGTCGCGCCCCTCCTAGGCCCCGCCGCGCCCCTCCTGGGCCCCGAAGCGCCCCTCCTGGGCCCCGTCGCGTCCCTCCTAGGCCCCGTAGCGCCCCTCCTGGGCCTCGTCGCTTCCCTCCTGGGCTCCGTAGCGCCCCTCCTGGGCCCCGTCGCGCCCCTCCTGGGCCCCGTAATGCCCCTCCTGAGCCCCGTAGCGCCCCTCCTGGGTTCCGTCGCGCCCCTCCTGGGTTCCGTCGCGCCCCTCTTGGGCCCCGTAGTGCCCTTCCTGGTCCCCGTCGCGCCCCTCCTGGGCCCCTCCTGGGCCCTGTAGTGTCCCTCCTGGGCCCTGTACCGTCCTTCCTGGGCCCCGTAACGCCCCTCCTGGGCCCCGTAGCGCCCCTCCTGGGCCACGTCGAGCCCCCTCCTGGGCCCCGTCACGCCTTCCGGCCCCGTCGCACCCGCCCGGCCCCGTCGCACCAGCCCGGCCCCGTCGCGCCCGCCCGGCCCCGTCGCACCCGCCCGGCCCCGTCACCCCCTGCCCGGCCCCGTCGCAGCCGCCCGGCCCTGTCGCACCCGTCCGGCCCCGTCGCGCCCGCCCAGCCACGGTGCACCCGTCCTTGGCCCCGTCGTGCCCCTCCTGGGCCACCGTCCCGCTCGCCCGGCCCCGTCGCACCGGCCCGGCCCCGTCGCACCGCCCGGCCCCGTCGCACCAGCCCGGCCCCGACGCACCCGCCCGGCCCCGTCGCACCAGCCCGGCCCCGTCGCGCCCGCCCGGCCTTGTCGCACCCGCCCGGCCCCGTTGCACAGGCCCGGCCCCTGCGCTCGTCCCTGCCCCGGCCCCGGTCCTCCTCACTGGTACGGTTCTCCCCCCCCCCCCCCCCCCGCCCTGCACTGCCCTGCACCGTACTGCCCCGTACTGCACCGCCCCGCACCACACTGTACTGCCTGGCACCGCACTGCACCGCACTGCACCGTGCTGCACCGCACTGCACCGCACTGCACCGCACTGTACCGCACTGCACCGCACTCCACCTTGCTGCACTGCCCTGCACCGCACTGCACTGTTCCTGATGGCGGCGGAGCTTCGCTTCGACGCTGAAGGCCAGCCTCTGGAGTTCGAGGCGTGGCTTGCCGACCTCCGCCGCCAACTCACTGGCCAGTGGCAGGATGGTGAACCGCTTTCCGCACATCTTGACGGTACGCTCCCCTGCCCAGACCCCCCTGCTATTCTGCTCGCTGACCCCACACCCACTGAGCGTGAGTCTACTGCTGCCACTGCCCGTGCGCGCTCTGTCTGGCTTTCTCGCGATGCTGTCGCCCAGCTTGCCATTAGCAACGCCCTTCCCCCGTCCGAGCGCCCTCGCTTTCGGTCCCTCACCACTGCTCAGGCATACTTAGATGCTGTCATCTAGCGCTATTCTACCCCTCCGGCGGCCTCGGTGGGTCGCCTGATCCTCCCGATGCTCTTTCCTGACCTTGCATCTTTCCCTACTGTCTCTGACCTCGCTGCCCACCTGCGCTCGATAGATGAGACCTGGCGCGCTGCCTGCACTGACGCACAGCTTAGAGCCCACCAGCCGCCCATTACCTCTACCCTCTACCTGCTTGCCACCCGCCTCCCTGACCGCCTTGCTGTCGCCCGCGACCGCTTCCTTAGCATTCACCCCGCAGACCTCCCCCTCACTGACTTTGTAGACACCCTGACTGTGATAGAGACCCGTCACCGCTCCATCGCCCAGGCGAGCGGTGTCGTGCCGGTCCCTATCTTTCAGGGTTGTGTCCCCGCTCAGTGTACCTTCTCCGACGGCTCTGCCGCAGTGGCTGAGACTGCTGCTTCAGCGCAGTTTCGTTCGGGGAAGGGCCGCCGCCCCAAGGTTGGGCGCGGCGGAGGCGGAGGCGGGGGTGCGGGAGGGGGTAGTGGTGGGGTCGGGTCGTCTGGTGCTGGAGCGGACGAGGGGACCCTGCCCAGTCCAGCTAAGCCGCCGCCCCTGCACTTGCAGCAGCCGCAGCAGCCGCTGCAGTCGCAGCCTTCGTAGCAGCCGCAGCAGCCGTCGCAGACGCGGCAGACGAGTGTCCTCCCGCCCGGGTGGCCCGGCGCTGGCCGTGGCCGGGCGCGTGGTGGTGTGCCGGGTGGTGGCTCTGGCGGCGGGCGTTGTCAGTACCAGATCCAGACCGGTCCTCGCCGCGGCTTCGTTTGCGGTAAGATCGGTCACTCCACTCCCCGCTGTTTTCGTCGCCTGGACGACCTCTTTCGTCAGCGCTTCGGCCCGTCGCCAGACCTCCCGGACTGGCACAGTTTGCTTAGTCGTAAGATTCAGATCTTTGATATGGACATGGATGCCATTGTTTCTGCTCTGCATGTGATGTATGCTGATGACTCTAGTGTGCTTCCAGATTATTACTCACTGTTGCCTAGTGTAGGTGTGCCTAGCGTAGCCTCCCCTGCTGCGTCAGGCGTAGGATCCTCTGCTTTGTAGTCTTGGTGCTTCCGCAGTCGTTCCGTCGCCAGCCACCTCTGCTTCTCTTTCCTTCACCTTGGACTCTGGCGCTTCTCGGTGTTTCTTCCGCGACTCCACCACCCTGACGCCGCTTCCTGTTCCTGCTGCCGTTTCTCTTGCTGACCCCTCCGGCGGTCCGGTAGTCGCCCGCAGTTCCACCACCCTTCCCTGTCCGGCGGTTCCTTCGGGCACTCTCACAGGTCTGCATATCCCCTCGTTCTCCAGGAACCTAGTTGGTGTCGGCTGCCTCCAGGACCTTGGCGTCACCACTACGTTCCCTGGTCACGAGCGGTATGCTGTCTGTACCGAGGCCGCCACTGGTGCCCCCCTGTCCACGTTCCCCCAAGACCCGGTGTCCGGCCTGTTCACTCTGGACACCGTGACCCCTCCGGCAGGAGCGCTCACCCAGGTTGCTGCTGCCTGCTCCTGTCGGTCCCTCACTCACCCGACTCTCCTTTGGCACCACCGCCTAGGTCACCCTGCGCTCCCACGTCTGCGTCACATGTCCCAGCACGGTCTTGTCCTTGGTCTCCCAGGTTCTCTCCCCGCGTTTCCCTCCTCCCCAGCCCCACCTTGCACGCCTTGTGTCGAGGGTCGGCTTCGCCGTGCCCCTCACTCCTCCTCGTTTCCCCCTACCGCCGCGCCGCTGCAGACCCTGCACCTGGACGTCTGGGGCCCCGCCCCCGTCCCTGGGCCGCGTCGAGAGCGCTACTTCCTTGTGCTTGTCGACGACTTCACTCGCTACACCACAGTCTTTCCCCTGGAGCGCAAGGCCGACGTGCCTGGCGCCCTCATCCCCTGGCTTGTCTCTGCGCGTGTCCACCGCGGTCTCCCTGTCTTGCGTCTTCACTCAGACCGTGGTGGCGAGTTTGCCTCCGGTGTCCTTGGTCGCTTTTGTCGTGCGGAGGGCATCACCCAGACGTTCACCCTACCGGACTCCCCACAGCAGAATGGGGTCGCTGAGCGACGCATCGGTTTGGTCATGGAGGTGGCTCGCACCTCCATGATCCATGCCGGTGCACCCCATTTTCTGTGGCCGTTCGCTGTGAGCTACGCCTCTCACCAGCTTAACTTGTGGCCGCACCCTCAGCAGCCGCGGGTTTCGCCGACCCATCTTTGGACTGGGTCTCCTGGTGACGCGTCTGCGTTCCACGTCTGGGGCTGCCTTGCTCACGTTCGTGCCTCCGGCACGGACAAGCTCACTGCCCGCACCCTTCCATGCGTCTTCCTCGGTTTTCCCCTTGACGCGTCCGACTGGCACTTTTACCACCCGCCGTCTCACCGCTTCTTTCACTCTCGTGACGTCACCTTTGACGAGTCCGTCCCCTATTACCGTCGCTTCCCCCACCGTGGTCCCCCGGTTACCCCCCCCCTGTTCGTGGTCCCTCCTTCCCCGGTAGTCCCTGCCCTTCCTCCTCCTCCTCCCCGTCCCGCCCCCTCTGGTGTGTCCCACGTCACCCCCCTTCCGTCGGAGGACCCGGTCGAGGGGTCTTCTGACTCTGGTGGCCCTCCTGTGCAGTCCTCGCCGGCCGCCCCTCCCCCGGCGTCCCCTCCCCAGTCCCCTCCTCCACCGCCTCTGCCGCCGCTGCAGCCGTCGTTCTCGCTGCCGCCGCAGCCGCCGCCGCCGCCGCCACCGCCGCCGTCGCAGCCCCCGTTCGCTGACTCTGGGGGTGCTGGTGTGGAGAGTGCCGGTGGTAGCCGAGGAGCAGCTTGCGGTCCCGGTGTCGCCGTTGTTCCGCCGCAGCAGCAGTCCCCGCCGGTGTCTGCCCTTCGCCTGCTCGGCCTTCCGTCCCCCGACCCTGCGTCTGTTCCTCCTCTTCCTGTCTACGGCCATGTTTTCCCTCCGCCGGACTCGTCCCCGACCTGTCTCCCCCCTCGTTCCCCTCCTGTGTCCCCTCCCCTGTCCCCTGACCCGACTCCTCCGTCGCACGTCTGGTCTCACCGTCCCTCCCGTGCTCGTCCTGCCTCGCCTGTCTTGCGCTCCCACCCTATGTTGCTTCGTTCCCACGCGTCTCGTCCTCCCCTTCTGCCGTCGCCTCCTCCGTCCTCCCTTGTTGTTGCACCCCCCCCGCTGTCTGACTACCTTCGTGCCGCTCGTCCCCTTGTTCCTCGGGTCCTTGCCTCTCTCGTTACCGACCCGTCTGTTCCGGTCTCGTGCCTTGACGCTCTTGTCGCTGCTGCCGCTGACTTCGCCTCTACTCGCCGCCTTGACTACGCCACAGCTCTGGTCTCTGACCCTGCCTGTCCTCCGTCTGTCGGGGGTGCTCCTGCCCTTGGCAGTGACGTCCTGGAGGACCGCCAGTTCGAGCTTGCTTTCCTCTCCGAGGCTGCTCCCCATCTCTGTTCCATGCTGCTAGTCCCTGAGGGTGACCCAGACGCTTTCGACATCCCGACCCCTCGCACTTACGCTGAGGCGACTTCGGGACCCTGGGCCTCGCAGTGGAAAGCTGCCATGGAGCAGGAGATGGCATCTTGGAGATCCACCGGCACCTTCGTCGACGCAGTTCCCCCACCTGGGGTGAACGTAGTCGATGGCCGCTGGCTCTTCAAGGTGAAGCGCCCTCCTGGAGAGCCGCCTGTGTTCAAGGCGCGCTATGTGGCTAGAGGCTTCAGTCAGCGCGAGGGGGTGGACTTCTTCCAGACCTTCGCTCCGACCTCGAAGATGACTACTCTTCGGGTTCTGTTACACCTAGCTGCTCAGCGTGACTACGAGCTTCACTCCCTCGACTTCTCCACTGCCTTCCTTCAGGGCAGCCTACACGAGCAGGTCTACTTGCGTCGCCCTCAGGGCTTTACTGGCACCTTCCCTCCTGGGACCCAGTGGCTCCTGCGGCGCCCCGTCTACGACCTGCGCCAGGCTCCCCGTGAGTGGCACGACACTCTCCGTGCTACGCTTGCTGACCTGCAGTTCTTTCCGTCTTCCGCAGACCCTTCACTCTTCGTTCGTGCTGGCCAGACTCCGTTCTACATCCTTGTTTACGTCGACGACCTGGTCTTTGCCACAGCAGACAGGGACGCACTGGCCTCCGTGAAGGAAGAGCTGCTGAAGAGACACACGTGCACTGACCTTGGAGAACTGCGCCGCTACCTTGGCTTGCAGATCTCCAGGGACAGAGCATCGCGCACCATCACCCTGACTCAGTCACACTTGGTGCGCCAGGTCCTTCAGAGGTTCAGCCTTCAGTTCTCCTCTGCACAGCCCACCCCTCTGCCTGTAGACCACAGACTCTCCGCTCCAGTGTCTGAGGAGTTGGTAGAGCCCAGCGGCCCCTACGCAGAGCTGGTGGGTTGCCTCATGTACCTAATGACTTGCACTCGCCCAGATCTTGCATACCCTCTCAGCATCCTTGCTCGCTTTGTGGCCACAGGCAGACACCGACCGCAGCACTGGTCTGCCGCTAAGAGGGTTCTGCGTTATCTTGCTAGTACATCGGGCATGGAGTTAGTGCTAGGAGGACGCAGGCCAGTGGTCCTTACTGGACACACAGACGCTTCGTGGGCAGACGACGCCGAGACACTCAGGTCTACCCAGGGCTACTGCTTCAGCCTTGGCTCAGGTGCCGTCTCGTGGGGAGCTACCCGCTCCTCGTCTGTTGCGCAGTCCAGCTGTGAGGCTGAGATCTACGCTGGTGCCATGGCGGCACAGGAGCTCCGCTGGCTGACCTTCTTGCTCACTGACTTAAGTGAGCGGCCTAGCTCTGCACCAGTCCTGTACGCTGACAAGAGGGCCATGATCCTCCTGTGTCAGGAGCCTCGACTCGAGGGCAGAGCGAAGCACATTCAGCTGCGGTACTTCCTCCTGCGTGAGCTACAGCAGCGACGTCAGGCTCGCGTAGTACACTTGGCCTCAGGTGCCAACACGGCTGATATCTTTACGAAGGCGCTTGCGCCTAAAGATCATCAGCGGTACTGTGTACAGCTTGGTCTAGTTCCTGTAGCCTCTCACTTGCTAGGACCTTGACTTTGTACTGTCCTTTATATCTGTACTCAGACTGGACTTGTGTCCTCTCCCAGTGGCTGGACTAGTAGTGCCGCCCTGCTCTTGTTCTTGCCTTGTCTGTACTCCTTCTGACTGGTCTCTCAGACCCTTGTCTCAGAGGTTGGACTAGTAGTGCCGCCCTGAGCTGCTTGTTTAGGACATTCCCCTATGCAGTCTAGGGGGTGTGTCAAACATGTGTATGTGTCATGTTTGTATAGACTGTATAGGGTCACCTCTACAACACTTAGGTATATCTGTGTGTACTCTCTCTACTATCATTCACTTCTCTAATTTTGATATAACACCCATACGTTTTTTTTTATGAAATTTTGACAATACCCTAGGGTATTATATACGGGGGAATACGGTAAGCAACTTTCACAATGTCTGAATCAGAGTAAAAAGTCGGCAATTTGGGGGCCTACCCTCCCATTCTAGATTTATTCTTCCATTCTAACAAACTCTGCCGAATTTTTTTCGCCCAGTTTTTTTGGCACTGTTCTCATGATCAGTAATCATGGTTTTCTACCAATTTAGTCTCGGGCTTTAAAACGTCCATGGGTACATGTATATGCGGGGGGTTACAGTGCGACCATGCATGCAATGCAACCATCCCTGCAAGGCCGACTCCCTGACCTACATCTGCTGCCGCGCAGCTTCCAGTTTCACAGGGCCAGGAAAAGCAGAGAGTCAGGAGGAGCAGTTGCTGCCTTGCATCGCTTGCTTTTCCGGGCCCTGCAAAACACCATCCACATCACAACAAGCGGCACTAGAATCCGGCCCACCAGCAACCACCGCCCTGCAGCACAGCACCAACCATCCCACACAAGCATAAGAAACTGTACATCTCCTCTTCAGGCAACCTCATCTTCTCTCCTAATCCCCCCTTCTGCCCAATCCCCCCATCCCCCCCTTCCATGCAGTCAACCCCCTAACCATCATACTCCCTGCACACACAGAAAGCAAGGACAAGGGATTGGTATACCTCCCTGCACCAACCCCCAGCTCCCCTCTTATCCCCCTGCCACCTCCCTTCCACCCCCCTCTCTCTAGTCGTCCTCGTCGCTGGCGTTGCGCAGGCACTGCCCCAGAGGCACCCGTCTGCCCGGGCGGCCCATGCGCCCCATGCCAAGCGCGCGGTTGACCCCCTGTACCGCCCCCCCCGTGCACTGAAAGGCATTGGGGCGCGTCACCATGGCTGCCTGGCCCCACCCCCTGCCCACGCGCACAGAGAGGGGCGCGTTGCCCTGACTCTGCTTCACCAGACGCCCGGACCCTGCACCCGCCGCACATGCGAACTGGTGGGCGAGAGGAGGGGGGAAAAGTGGGGGTGAGGAGGGAAGATGGGTGAGGGTTGGGTGTTAGAGAATGAAGGTTGGCGTAAGAGGGCTTCTCCGGCGGGATGACAATGGGACCCTAGAGCGGTGTAAATTGAGCATACGGCATGAGCACAGGAGGTTACCTTGTAGCTCCTGCTGCGAGCCTGCATCTGGGCGTAGGGCCGGGCGCCCTTGACGACGTGCAGCAGCAGCTGCTCCCGCAGCATCACGCGGTCCCCTCGCACCGCCGCGGGCAGCCCGCCCATGGCGTCGTCGGGGATGGCCAGCAGCGTGACGCCGCCATTGCACATCACATCCGCCAGCTCGTTGGAGAGCCCTGAAAGGGGGCATAAGGGGGCATGGCAGGGCGGTTGAGCGACGGTGAAGGCAATCAGCAAGGAAAAGGAAGGGGTGAGCGCTGGGGATGGCCAGCAGCGTCACCCCGCCGCAGCACACCACCGCGCACAGCGCACCTGTCTGCTGCAGCGCGCCGGCGAACTTGGCGAAGCCGCTCCTAGTCAAGCCCTTCATCAGCTTGCCCGCCTGCTTCGACCCGTCGCACGCCTGCACGCCCACGTCAGCAGCCGGAACCGCGCTCGCGCTCGCATCCACGCTCGCCACCGCCGCATTCCTGCCCGTCCCGCTGCCGTTGCACGTGCCCGTCCCGCTCTTGGTGCACGTCCCCGTGCCCTTCTTCCCCTGGCTCTTCCTCCCGCCGCCATTGCCGCGATTCCCCGCAGGGTTGCCGCCGTTCTTGTTGCCGGTGCAAGAGCCGCCTTTGAGGCACGAGCCGTCCCGTTTCCTGTCGCGGTCCTGGTTGCCCGTGCCGTCGCGCTTGCGATCCTGATTGTCGGCAGCCACGAAGCCGACGAGGAGCATTACGAGGACGGCTATAACGAGGATGTTCTTCGAAGCCATGGCAGCTCACGTCGTTTCAATCGCTAGAGAAAATGGCAAGAAAAACGAATTGGGATGCTCGTGTACGAAACACTCGTGTACGAATTGGGATGCTCGAGTACGAATGCACTTTTCTGCGTCAAAACTCTCTGCTATGCTCGTGTGAAGTCCGGAATCCGCCATGGAATTTGTAGGCACGCGCTCGAGGGCGCGCTTTGACTTCGAAACGCGGAGGAAGGGACACAGCATGGCGGCGGATTGACCCAGACTTGTCGCCCTCGAGGCGCCAAGCGGTTAGGGAATGGTCCCGCAACGAGAATGCCGCCAAATATCCAAGCGAAGGTTTTATCTAGCAAAAGGAAAGTGCCTGCGAAAAGGCTCTTGGACTAGTATCGCCAGCAAAGCAAACCCTCTCCAATGAGGACTGGTGAGGTGACTGACGAGGCTGGGGAGGCCTGTGTTGCGGGGGAAGGAAGGAAGGAAGGCGCACGCGAACAGGGTTGCTGATTGGTGCTTCAGGGCACTTTCAAAGTGTGAAATTTGAATTTCATACCGTACTTGATCTATCTGTAAAGGCCAGAAACGCTTCAAGCTGTACCCCGCAAAGCTGAACCGAAATCCAAAACGAAAAGACTTTTCACTTTGGATGCGCCCTCACACCCCTCAATGATGCAATGTGCCAGGGTCAGTTTTTCCCCGACACAAGCCGACTCGTTCGAGCTGTTGGTACTCTTTTGCTCAATCGTACAACGGGTGTTATGAACCTAAAAAGGAGAGAACCTAGAATAATAATCTATAAATGATTACACATAAAAAAACACCAAAATAGCAAACCATTCGGATACAGATAGCCACGATTAGATGGAAAAAAATAATCATACACAAATCAGGGTCCTAGCAAGCGAGGAGCTACTGGAACTAGACCTAGCTATAGACAGTGCCGCTGATGATTTTTAGGCGCAAGCGCCTTGGTAAAGATATCAGCTGTGTTGGCACCGGAGGCCAAGTGTGCCAACTTATACATATGTTGTTATGTAGAAGTTATAGGCTAAATACGTGTATATTCTTAGAGGGTACAACCCCAACACTATATCTTCCTTGTTCTCTCTTGTTTCTAACCATTCTAGCATTCTAACACGGCATCATGAGTAGGTTAGCCCCCCCCCCCCCCCACCTGCTTCCTCCCCGCGCACTAGCCTACCGCGCCTCGCCGGCCCCTAGCCCGTCCGCCGGCCCCTAGCGTGCCTGTCGCCCCCCCCTCGCGCCCTAGCCGGCCCCTCACGCCCTAGCCGGCCCCTTACGCCCTAGCCGGCCCCTCATGCCCTAGATGGCCCCTCCCGTCGTAGCCGGCCCCTCGCGCCCTAGCTGGCCCCTCACGCCCTAGCCAGCCCCTCGCGCCCTAGCTGGCCCCTCGTGCCTAGGCGGCCCCTCGTGCCCAGCCAACTCCTCGCGCCATCGCCAGCCCCTCGCGCCGTCCCTTGCCCCTCGCGCCGTTACCGGCCCCTTGCACCCTAGCAGGCCCCTCGTGCCCTAGCAGGCCCTTCGCGCCGTCGCCGGCCCCTCGCGCCCAGCGGGCCCCACCCTCGCGCAGTAGCCGGCTCCTCGCGCCATCGCCAGCTCCTCGCGCTGTCACTGGCCCCTAGGGCCTAGCTGGCCCCTCGCGCCCAGCCAGACCCTCTCACTTAGCCGGCCCCTCTCACTTAGCCGGCACCTCGCCCCTCGCCGGCCCCTCCCACCTAGCCGGCCCCTCTCCTGCGCACCGCCGGCCCCACGCGCCTTACCAGCCCCTCTCTACGCGCCGGCCTCTTCCCGCACCTGGCTGGCCCCTCGTGCGCATCGGCCCCTCGTGCACCCCGGCCCCTTGCGCGCCCGCAGGCTCCTCACGCGCCCTCCTTCGCCTTCCGTCCAGTTCCCGTTCCGGAGAGTCCTGCCGCCGCGTCGCTATCTCGCCGTGCAGCTGAGTCCCTGTGCCGCTGTGCCGCTATGTCCCTGTGTCGCTGTGACACTGTGTCCCGGTGCCGCTGTGGTTGCGCAATGTCAAACGCCATGCTACGTCTGGACGCTGAGGGGCACGCGATCGACTCCGCCGCTGGCTTGGAGATCTCTGCCGGCACCTGACAGGTGAGCGCCAGGATGGGCACTCCCTGGCTATGCATGTTGATGGTTTGCTTCCCTGCCCCTCTACGCCTGATCCCCTTTCTGCTGACCCCACCACTGCTGAGAGTGAGGCATTTGCTGCTGCTGCGCTCGCTCGCGCTGTCTGGGATTCTCGCGATGCTGTAGCGCAGCTCGCCATTAGTCATGCGCTTCCCCTGTCTGAGCGTCCGCACTTCACTGCTGTCGAGAACGCCAAGGACTTCCTAGATGCCGTAGTTACGCGCTACTCTATACCTGCTTCCACCTCTGCTGGCTGCTTGATCCTCCCCATGCTCTTCCCTGATCTTTCCGCTTTCCCCACTGTCTCTGACCTCGCTACTCACCTCCGTGCACTAGAGACTAGCTACCGCGCTGCTAGCACTACCGCCCAGTTCACTGCCTTCCCCCCACCATTTTGCGCTACCCTGTACCTTATTGCCATGCGCCTGCCTGACCGCTTAGCCACAGCCCGCGACCACTTCCTTAGTCACCACCCTGGCGACCTCACCCTGACCGCCTTTGTCACTGCTCTGCCTGAGATAGGGACTCACCAGTGCACTATCGCTCAGCTGAGCGGTGTTGCGGCAGTCCCAATCTTTCAGGGCTGTGCTCCCTCCCAGTGCACGTACGCTAACGTCTCCGCCGTAGTTGCCACGGATGCCCCTGCCACTGAGATAGCAGTTGCGGCTTTCCCGCAGCAGCGAGAGTGCCAGGGCTACTGCAACAACGCTACAGCGGAGGCCAGGTGGCCTCAAGCACCGCTTCGCCGAGGCTGCGGCAGTCCCTATCTTTCAGGGCTCGGCTGACTCAGGTGGCCTCGCGGTGCAGTTTGCGCCGCCTGTCTTTCCCCCGGTGTCTCCTCCTCCCCCATCACAGTCGCCGCCATTGCAGTCGCCGCCGCCGTAGCAGCAGCCGCCATCGTAGTAGCCACCACCGTCGTAGCAGCAGCAGCTGTTCGTGGACTCTGGGGGTGCTGGCGTTGACGAGGGTGCTAGTCCTCGGGTTCCTGTCGTGGCTTGTCCCGGCAGGCTCAGGGGTGGCACCGGTGCTGGAGAGGGTTCTTGCTATGGGGGTGCTCGTTCTAGGGGTGCTGGAGTGGAGTGTTTCAGAGGTAGTCGCGGTGCCGCTGGGGGTCCAGGTGTCGGCATCGAGCAGAAGCAGCATCAGTCACCGCCGGTGTCCGCCCTTCGCCTGCTCGGCCTTCCCTCCCCCGACCGCTCACCTGAGCCTCCCCCGCCGCCTCCTCCCCTTCCTCTCCACGGTCCTGTGTTTCCTTTGCCGGAGTCCTCCCCGGCCCATTTCCCACCTCGTTCCCCACCTGTTACTCCTCCTCTGTCTCCTGACCAGACGCCTCCGTATCACGTCTGGTCTCGCCGTCCCTCTTGTGCTCGTCCTGTTTCCCCTGTTCCGCTCTCTCACACAATGTTGCTCCGTTCCCACATGTCTCGTCCTCCCCTCCTGCCTTCCCCCCCTCCGTCGTCGCTCGCTGTCGCGCCTCCCCCTCTGTCTGACTACCTTCGTGCTGCTCGTCCTGTTGTTCCTCGGGTTCTTTCCTCTCTTGTTACCGACCCATCTGTTCCTCGCTCAAGTCTTGACGCTCTTGTCGCTGCTGTCGCTGACTTTGCTTCTACCCGCCGCCTTGACTACGCCACCGCTCTGGTCTCTGACCCTGGCCGTCCTCCGTCCGTCGAGGGTGCTCCTGCCCTTGGCAGTGACGTCCTAGAGGACAGGCAGTACAAGCTTGCTTTCCTATCGGAGGCTGCTCCCCATCTCTATTCCATGCTGCTAGTCCCTGAGGGTGACCCAGGCGCCTTTGACATCCCGACCCCTCGCACTCACGCTGAGGCGACCTCGGGACCCTGGGCCTCTCAGTGGATAGCTGCCATGGAGTAGGAGATGGCATCTTGGAGATCCACCGGCACCTATGTCCACGTAGTTCCCCCACCTGGGGTGAACGTAGTCGACGGCCGGTGGCTCTTCAAAGTGAAGCCCCCCCTTGGAGAGCCGCGTGTGTTCAAGGTGCGCTACGTGGCTAGAGGCTTCAGTCAGCGAGAGGGGATGGACTTCTTTCAGACCTTCGCCCCGACCCCGAAGATGACTACTCTTCGGGCGCTGCTACACGTAGCAACATAGCGTGACTAGGAGCTCCACTCCCTCCACTTCTCCACTGCTTTTCTTCATGATAGCCTACACGAGCAGCTCTACCTGCGCCATCCACAGGGCTTCACCGGTACCTTCCCTCCTAGGACCCAGTGGCTCCTCCGGCGTTCGGTATACGGCGTGCGACAGGCGCCTCGTGTGGGGCACGACATGCTGCGTGCTGCGCTAGATGATCTGCAGTTCTTTTCGTTCTCTGCAGACCCTTCACTCTTCGTTCGTACTGGCTAGACTACGTTCTACATCATTGTCTACGTAGACGACCTGGTCTTCGCTACTGTAGATAGAGACGCGCTGGCCTCCGTGAAGGCCGAGCTGCTTAGGAGACACACCTGCACTGACCTACAAGAGCTGCGCGGCTACCTTGGCCTATAGATCTCTAGGGACAAAGCAGCGTTCACCATCACTCTCACACAGTCACACTTGGTGCGCCAGGTCCTTCAGAGGTTCCGTCTTCAGTTCTCCTCCACACAGCCCACACCTCTGCCGGTAGACCACAGGCTCTCAGCTCCAGTTCTTGAGGAGTTAGCAGAGCCCAGTGGTCCTTACGCAGAGTTTGTGGGTTGCCTCATGTACCTGATGACTTGCACTCGCCCAGATCTTGCATACCTTCTCAGCATCCTGGCTCGCTTTGTGGCCACAGCCCTAGGGGGTGTGTCAACTTATACAGATGTTGTTATGTAGAACTTATAGACTAGATAGGTGTATGTTATTAGAGGGTACAACCCCAACATTATATCTCCATTGTTCTCTCTTGTTTCTAACCATTCTAGCATTCTAACAAAGTGTACTACACGTGCCTGGCTGTGCTACTCTAGCTCGCGCAGGAGAAAGTACTGCAGCTAGATGTGCTTTGCTCTGCCCTCTTGTCGAGTCTCCTAACACAGGAGGATCATGAACCTATTATCAGCGTCCAGGACTTGTCAGAGAATGAGGCTTGCTGAATCCTTGATCACAACCATTTGCTATTTGCTATTTATTGTATGTTATTTTGTGTGTTTTTCCTTTCCTGGAAATCCCTACACTCTTTCCTACACATTGATATATTTTATATATACCAATTGTGTTACGAAGTGTTTTGGACTTTCTTTGCGTGACACGTTTTC